GAATTATTTTATTATGTTTTATTTTTATTATTTTATTACTTCCCTTCTACGTGACTTTACCGAAAGAACCAAGAAGATGAATCCCTGCAGTCACGAAAGCTTTAAATCGAAATGTTTATATCCCTTTCTTTGTTTTGTTTCTAAATTTCTGAATCCAAGCTTATATGCAGACATTAATGTAGGCGTGTCGAGAACATTGAATGTTTGGTGATCTCTCAATCAGCTTCAATAGTTTAACATTAATCGTCATCAACAAAAGCTATGATCAAGTCTCCTGCTAGATAGAGGCCTTCCCATCTAATAAGATGGCAACAACCCGAGGTGTCCTCACGACACCTGGTGGAATCTCTAATTTAGTTCAATATCATTTTAAGAACTTGTTTTGGAAATGTTCATAGAGTTGCAAACATTATAAACGAAATTAAGATTTCACATCTGCCATTATTGACATATGCATTGCTTATTGACAAAAAAATGTTTTACTTTATACTCAAGGTAAAAATGTTATTCTCTCCTGAATAATGTTAATGTTTTCTCAGAACCTTTTGACCAGAGCAACACTGCCAGGGCTGTGTATGAGAAATGTCGGTTTGACAAGATAAAGGAAGAATTCAGGAAGGTGAGGCTTTCTTTCACATTCTAGTGTGTACGCGGTCGTGTTGTCATGTGTTATCCTTTCATTTTTGTCTAATCTCTTTTTCACAAATTAGCCAGGTTTCAGACAGTAGTGTACATGTGCAGCTCTTTTATCAATCCACTGGATGGGGGGGGGGGCTGCCAATATCATGCAGGTTGTGTTTTTGTTACCATACTGTACCAAGCTGGTTAGTACAGGCTGATAAAGGTGGAGAGCATATTATATGTGGGAACATAGTTCAGTACAACTTTTTAAATTGGCTCCACCGTACCCCGCTGCCCACCGCATATGCATGCAGTCACTTGTTTTATAAAAGGTGATTGACCAAGCACTATCCAGCCTCCAGGGCTGCTTAAGTTTCTGAGATCTCACGAAATCGGGTACGTGCCGTGTGGTTTGGTTACAGGCTTTAGCTAATTGATTGTAAATAAGACATGTTTGTAAATAAGTAATGTTTCGGAATCTTCAAATGCTCTTGACTTACAATTTGGTTATACGCTTAGCACTGTGTAAGCGCATCACTGCATGCGCGCTGTTTTTATTTCTACTCAGTATTTTAAATGTGTAAATACAGGGGAGTAGGAGCTTGACATAATCGTACTCCTTGGAAGCAAGTCCAGCTGTCCTTACTTGCAAAGTAGTGTACTTGCATTATAAGTTATCCTTTGCTTCCACCACCAGGGTAATGCAAGGTTCTGTTTCTCATATAAGAACCTTGTGTTAGGCTTGCTAAAATCGAGCTGCTCTTGTACAGGGAGAGGCTGCTACATCTCTGATAAATGTTTTGTTTCCTGCAGGCATCGACGTTGCTGGAAGACTGCAAGAATATTGACAACATTCTGCTGGCGAGCTAATCGCATAACGTTGACAGTGGAAGGTCTCGTTGGCACCCAGCGATTCCAGCGCGTGCAGCAAGACACTGTTACGCTGTTCTTGGGTCAAGAGGAAGCTGTCGGCCCACAATAATGACTGGATGAGGCATTGCACACCTTATAACTTTCTGCCGAAATAAAAGTGATTCTCTCATGATTGTTCTATTTAAATTCTGCTCTTTATATCAGATCGACATTATATGCAGGCTTTATTTTCTGATATTCTTAGACTTGGAAAGTTGTTTTCGGTTAACATTTTGTATTGTACATTAATCAATGGTGCATTGTTTGTACATATTTTATATAGCATTCAGCAGCATTGAATTGGTAGGGTTATGCTCGTATTACTTTTGTGTGCAGAAAGTGACGTCAGCTGTCTGAGGTATGATTGTCAAAATTTCCAGTAGTTTTTTTTCATGTCTCGATATCTTGTTTAATAAAACATGAACGTCTAAATACTGCACAATATATTCAGAAAAAGGAGCATTTGTTTTATTTTGTAATAATATATTGGACAGTGCTGATTGCAAATGTAAATACTGTCAATTTGAGAGATTCCTTGTTTTAAAATGAGCAGAGTTGTGTTTTATTTCAAGTTTAAGTTTTACATTGTAATGCTATAAAACATTTTAATCCGCAGATATAAATAAACAATTACCAGGCAATTAAGGCAATGCCATATTACACCGTACAGTATGATGTATGTTTTAACTTTATAGTTTTCAAGACTCCCTTTGACAGATGTCTTGCGTAAAAACTTTTACAATTGATAGTAAATATAAAAGACACCCAACTTGTGATAACTTATTTTTTTAATAAAAACGTCAATACTCTAAATAGCATCGTATACTTTACTCATACTTGGGAGCTGCCCGTTGTGTAATGGTTAGCACCTTGGACTTACAAGGTAGAGGTCGCTGGTTCCATTTCATCTTTTGGTGTGGTAGTTAGAAACGGCGAAAGTTTCTCAAATATAACACATTCCTACGGAGGGAGCTGGTAGGAACGTTGGGTTGCTCGGTCAATGGCCAGGGTCAACGGTGGCGTGGTGTATTCCGCAAATATGGCTGACTGTGAGGGCGGGCACAAGCCGGCGTGAGTAGGTTAAACGTTGAGTTTTATAAGGGCACCACGGGGTGATCAGCCCCACAGCCCACCCAGCCCCACCCCTCCCATTTTTGTATGCACGACGGATGGACACACTAATCCCCTGTGGGCTGGTGTAACCAGGAGGTTCCTACCAGTATTAAAGTCTCATGTGCACCTAGCAGTTATGAATGCGGTACACCACAAACAACAGGTCTTGTATGATGGTGGTGGGTTAAGTGTGGGTATGCACACCTCCCACACCCCTGCGAGTTGGTATGTACAGAGTGGTTAAACTTCGATTTAAAGCTTTCGTGACTGCAGGGATCCATCTTCTTGGTTCTTTCGGTAAAGTCACGTAGAAGGGAAGTAATAAAATAATAAAAATAAAATACCTGAAGACGGCTGCTTGCGTTGTAGCCGAAACGTCGTGAGAATTATTTTATTATGTTTTATTTTTATTATTTTATTACTTCCCTTCTACGTGACTTTACCGAAAGAACCAAGAAGATGTACAGAGTGGTTAAAAACATTTTTACACTTATTATGGGACTATCATTTTTAATGGAAACAACGGATAATATACTAACATAACAAATGTTTGTTAATAGCTTCAAAACCTCGGGAGTATTCACTTGTTCGCCATTATTGTCATCACACGCCTCGAATCTTCTCCAGGTGGTCTCCAGAGCCCGGAGGCACATTTCTTGTGGTGGTGTTGTTGCAACTTCTCTATTGTTGCAAGTGTAGTGAGTTCAACTGAGTCGCAGACGCGCTCTTTGGAGGCAACACATTTATTGATACCAACACAAAGGGGTAACTGCCCCTTCACCAGATAACCTATGGTGGTGGACCACCAGGCTAACTACACTAATACGCTGGGAGTAGCTACAACAGACAGGGACCCCAGCTTGGGTCCAGGTCCACGTGTTGATGACTCTTCATGGACATCGAATGTAGATTCCTCAGATGAGAGCAGCAACGCTGAACCCCGGTCCCTCTTGGGACCCGGCTTACATCCTCACTGGTCGTGGCTGGCTCCGCCCTTGGCCACGACCACCTTCTCGAATCCTCGAGCAGGATCTCGCTTTGACACGTGACCACCCCAAGCCCCCACTTGGGGCCCCTGTGTAGACTTTACCAGTCACGTGTCCTCCGGGGTCAACCAGAGTGCCACGGCCTTTAGTAACCCCATTCCATGAAGATGGTTTGTCGTGAGGGCAGCACTGGCATCATCTCAGGGGCCGTCCATAAATGACGTCACGCACCTTGGGGGGGGAGGTGGGTAAAGACATTTGTGACGATGTGTGACGAGGGGGGGAGGGGGGGTTGAGAAATGTGACGTCACATCAAAATGCGCAACTTTAAATAAATATAGAAAACACGTTCTACTTAATTAAATAGACTTTTTAATAAATGTTTTCTCCTACAACATCAGAGTGCATCGCCACATTAAATACGCACTACAATGACAATAGTTTAAAGCGATTTTAAGCGTGTTTTATTTTTTTGGGGGGGGGGGGCAGAGCTTTGTGACGTCATATCTGAGGGGGGGGGTCTGGCTTTTTGTGACGCCGTGTGACGAGGGGGGGAGGGTCAAAAACCGGCCAAAATCCCGTGACGTCATTTATGGACGGCCCCTTAAATGGATTGCAACGGGCCGTTGGGGAGCCGGGTCATGGCGTCCTGTTGACATGGCAATCTAACGACCTCGGATTGTCCACAAGCCAGCTCGCGTTTGTTAACGCTTTAAAGAGGCCAATTCAAGTGGGCCGCATCTGGGCGTGTCTTCGTTTTCTCGTCAGGGTTAAATCGCCACCCTTTAATATTTAAATGCACGGTCGCGATGTTAATAATTGTCATAAACTTGCCACAATACAGGTCCCCAACGGCCGACCACGTGTTTGGGACTCCCCCCCCAAACCCCCCCCACCCCCCCCAAGCCCCCCCCCCACCCCCCAAGCCCCCCCCTCACCACCCCCCAAACCCCCCCCACCCCCAACCCCCTCCCCACACCCACCCCCCAAACCCCCCCCCCACCCCCAAGCCCCCCCCTCACCAACCCCCAAACCCCCCCCCACCCCCCAAGCCCCCCCCTCACCACCCCCCAAACCCCCCCCACCCCCAACCCCCTCCCCACACCACCCCCCAAACCCCCCCCACCCCCCAAGCCCCCCCCTCACCAACCCCCAAACCCCCCCCACCCCCCAAGCCCCCCCCTCACCAACCCCCAAACCCCCCTACCCAACCCCCCCCACCACCCCCCAAGCCCCCCCCCCACCACCCCCTCTCACATTCCCTAACGCGGATTAGCCAACCGCTCCGTCTCGGCGCCTCCCATTGGTCGACGCGGCGGCTCGGAGCCAATAGGAAGCGGCGTTGCATCGCGGCGCCACCATCCGCTGTAGGGAATCCGAGGGAGCGATGGCGGCGGCGACGGCGGCGGCGGCTTTAAATGGTTCTGCGGCAATGGCAGCGGCGGCGAAGAGTCGAGCGAAGCGCTACGACAAGATCGACTTCCTTGGCGAGGGACAGGTACGAGCCAAGCCTCTGGTTTTCCTCACACTCCTCCCCCCCCTGAGCTCGTCGTCATTGGTACTTGCAGGGCCCCCCCAATTCAGGCTTGAGGTGGAGGCCCTGTCCTGGATTTTGTCCTGGATTTTTCTGTTTGTGTAAAGTCACTTTAGGATGATAATGATGATAATAATAATAGGGGGGTTTTAGATTTGAAGCTTTCGTGACTGCAAGGATTCATACTCTTAGGTAAAAAAATAAAAAAGAAATTTAAACAAATAATAGAAATAATAATGATTTATTATTTTATTTCTATAATTATTTCTATAAATGTTATTATTTATTATTTCCTACGTGACTTTACCGAAAAAACCTAAGAGTATCATAGGGGTTTTCCCCTTTTTTATGGCAACAAAACTGAAACCTTTTTTTACAAGGATTCGTGTCTGCATTAACCACGATACTTGCAGTCAAATGCAAACAAACACACTGATAATATTGGCATTGGCCTCGAAACCGATTGGGCCACACCAATCACTTTAAGATGTTTTCATGCTTTTGTTTGTTGCGGTGGCACCCGATTCAAGAGCCGAATGGCTCACAGGGCTGTACCTAATAGATGAAACTGAAGCTGCCCATCGCCTTGTTGTGTGGGACACAATAAGTGTGGGACACAACAAGGCGTGCACGATCAGCTGCACTGCGAATCGCTGGGGGGCTCTTTTACCAATTCCACGTGGAGAAGATTGCGTGTTCTGTGTACGGGCTTTATGTGGTGATGGACAAAAGGTCATTCGCGATAGAGTTTCCCATTTATATGCCACATTGGGGAAACGTGCGGGAAAACAACTCCTTAAATAGATTTTTTAATCAACGGTTTTATTTAAAAATGCACCCAAAAGTCAAATTTTCTTTTTTTTTCAGCCGTCATCAGCTGATCAGAATATTTTTCGACACTTGTAACTAAAACGTAAAACCGTGGGGCGCTCCTTTAATATTTTTATGCATAATCAGTTGCTTTACAAATTATTTATTTTGATAAAAGTTTATTTGTGTGATACAATGAATGTCAAATTTATTGTCAATCATTAGCAGTTGAAGGGAAAATTTTGATTCAGTTTGCCATGAAGTGTGGAACATTTGCAAGTGTAATTCAACTGTTAAAGACACCAAAAACTCCACTGCCAATCCACGCTACCCGGTCATGAGAGTTGTTCGGACATACTTCACCACGCTGGTCATTGCGAGTAGTAGACCCAACAACATAGAAGTTACAGTCCTGTATATAAATACAATAATTAATTTTGCTGCTCAGTCCTGTGATGGCCATAACGTATGTCAGACGACATTGCAGTCTGCAATACCGGTTTGCATTGCCATCCAAGCACGATCTAGCAGGCTAATAATATTCTCTGCTTAGCTTACAACAAATACACGTGCTTTTATGATCATTTACCAGGTGGCGCCGTGCCCTTGTTTAAATCGACTCGGTCTATCGGGCTCGAGAAAAATTAACCCGTAAAAACAAAGTTTTTCACTATAAATCCTTTATATGCGTGTTCAATGGGCCACAACCCAGCCCACATTGGTCTTTGAAATGGGCGGCTAGAGTCCTCTCGTCCTCTGGCTTGAGATGGCTGCCACCTATGGGTCAGATGATTGCCTGCCACCATTAAGCAATTTGTAATTAAATATAATTATTTTTTACCTAAAAAGTGTAAAATTTCGGAACAAATTTCACGAAAAGAAATTGTCACGCACAACGAGTCTGTGTGCAAAATGTCAGCTCGATTGGATCACGGGAAGTGGGTTAAAAAACGACCGAAAGATTTGCACGGTCGTAAGCGCGCAAGCAAGCAATCAAGTGAATTTAATATAAAGGATTTAAAAATTAGTACGACTTTGAAGTAAAAAAAAACTGGAGGGGACCGGCCTCTGTCATGAGAATGTGGAGTTGCCACTCCCGGTATCGGGCTTTGAATGGAAAATTAGAAACTCTTATTCAGTCTTGTTTGGGCATGGAGACACATTATCGTGAAGGAAAATTATCAATACTTTTGCCAAATATCATCATTTAGGACCCATCTAAAAAAATATTCCTGCAAAAATAAAAGTAATTTATATATATAGAATTCCACCCCCCCATGGCCAACACAGCAGTGGATTGACATGGCTGTAAATGATTACTCTGATATAATTCCTGGGATAGATGCCAATTAAGTAGAGTGCTCAGGCTCATAGGAGCATTTCATAGGTCCAGTTAAAAGCATCCGTGCAGATGCATAACTCTGTCAGTTGTTGCCTTGGTGATTGCGTTGTTTGAAATGTGAGTGTTTGAACTCGGTCTCCCCCCCTCTCCCTTTCATCCCAGTTTGCCACGGTCTACAAGGCCATGGACAAAGTAACGAACAAAATAGTTGCAATAAAAAAGGTTGGTTCATTAGTGCCCATTGCTTCGCACATACGTGGTTTGTTCTGTGTTGTTTGATTTTATGAAGAGTTTTGCATACAACGCAACGTGTAGTATAATGGCTCAGAGCCTACTTAGCGTGGTAAGAGAGATGATTAACATTCTGTATATCTAACATACACATCTGTCCCCGATGTTTAAGGCCTGATTCGTTTATTCAATTTGCAACTTAATCCTAATAATATCTTTATCTACACCGCTCTAGTTTATGTAATGTTCTGCTTTGCCATTGTGTAGCACAATAGCAAAGGTTGCGTACCAACCCAATCATTACTTTGTATGCTTGATCTGTGCTTGATTGCTGTAGATAAAACTGGGACACAGAACAGAGGCCAAGGATGGTAAGTAATTATTGAAGTAAAGAAACATTTCATAGGCACATTGTGTATTTAGATCTACTTAAATGTTAAATGTGTGCTCAATTCTTTGGCTGCATCTTAACAATTCCATTGCTGTAACTTGCACATGATGATGCATATTCTGAATACTTCTTTCGCAGGCATTAACAGGACTGCCCTACGGGAAATCAAATTGCTGCAGGAATTGAACCACCCCAACATCATCGGAGTAAGTGGTGGAAATATTTAAGCGAGAAATGTACTTTCGTGAAAGAGCATTCATTTTTTTAATGCAGTACATGACCAATATGAGTTCTCGGTCATTGCACTGTGCGAATAAGCAAGATTTTATTTCGTACTCAAATTCTTTGTTTTATTTAGCTCTTAGATGCCTTTGGCCACAAGTCAAACATCAGCTTGGTGTTTGACTTCATGGACACTGACCTCGAGGTAAGACAACAGAGACATGAACACTATACTGTTGAAGGGTAATTTTTAATTTTACGTGTTTAATTCTGAAGGTGGTTTTGCTTAAATTGTAACTGAAACAGATGTCATGTTCACAATTATTTGCATCGTTTTCATTATCATCAGCCTCCTGTTGCAGGATGAAGGCCTTGCCAAGTTGTTTCCATCTCTCATGCTCCTGCGATGTAACGATCCACCGAGAACTTGAGATGATTAATTGCTCATCATGACATCAGCGCTCGCTGCAATTGTCATTTATTGTTAACCACCAGCCGTAATCCCTTCCAGCAAGATGTCGTGCCCAAGACCTCTCAATTTCCTGAAGTCCACACGATGTCCCTCAATAATAGAGGTTTTTTTGAGTTAGATTGCGTAAATATAAATGTGTCGTTAAACCCGCCACCACCCGATACAGCCAATTGGTAAGGTTTGTCGCGTAAACAAAACATGCCAATCCATTACGAGTACAGCACACCAGTGTGTTGAAGAGTGTAAACCCACAACAAACCTTACTAATTGGCTGTCGGGTGGTGGCGGGTTTAACGACACATTCGTGTTTACGCGATCTAACCTAAAAACCTCTATTATGAATAATATTGGTTGTGAGAGCCCACATATTAAACTGATGATGCCTCTAAGCTGCATACGTCCGCTAAATCGATGTTCTTTCTCTTCCTATCGCCGTATATTTTCCAATCGTGTGCCTCGCCACACTTGTTTGCAAACATTTCAACTTGTGAATGGTTTCTAATGAAATATTAATGCGAGCGATATTGTTTGCAGGTAATTGTTAAGGATACAAGCCTGGTTCTGAGTCCTGCGAACATCAAGTCCTTCATGGTGATGACTCTACAGGGCTTGGAATACCTGCACATGCACTGGATTCTACACAGGGTAGGTGGCTCCTGCTTGCGCTATGTTGTCCTGCAATGCAGTATTATCTTATCATCAGCTCATGTAACTTTCACCTGAAGGCTCTTAGACACATACGTCCTCTCATCTCTACTGAAATTGCCAACACTTTGGCATGTTGCATAGTTGGGTCTCGCCTTGACTATTGTAACTCCGTCCTTGTCCGGACCTCCGCTGGCAACCTAAAGAAGCTTCAAAGACTACAAAATAACCTCCTGGCACGCGTCGTCATTGCCCACACTCATCCCCGCCTCGACTCACTAGCTCGTCTCCGCGCTCTCAACTGGCTCCCCATTGCCAGTAGGGTCACATACAAGACCGCCTGCCTCTGCCACAATGCCTTCATATCCGCCTGCCCGCCGTATCTTTCTTCATTATTGACAACTTGCAGCTCAGCACACGGCAGATGCCTGCGCAGCGCGACTCACGACCTCCTCTCAATACCAAGATCCAGGATGGTCATGTCTACGCGCTGCTTCTCGGTGGCAGCCCCAACAGTCTGGAACGATATCCCTCTGCACATTCGCAGCATCACCTCAATCGCCTCCTTCAAGAGACACTTAAAAACTCACCTCTACAATCATGCTTTTGAGCGACTCTGAGCTTGGCTCCGCGCCTCTGAGTTGCGGCCACTATGTCTGCAAATTTGCGCGCGTTACAAATTGTACTATTATTATTATTATCTTCATACTGTGCATTAAACAAAAATAGCAACACTAATTTTGTATAAAATATTAATGCATGTTTGCTTGTGATCAAATATCCATTTCAACAGGGATGATATGTTATGCCCGGCACGCTCATTATGATTCAACCAAATTAGAATATTCATGTTCTGTTGCACTTAAATATAAAACTAATTTTGTTTCTTATTGTATATTTTCTGCTATGTTAAATTTATATAATAGTTTAACTCCTATTGGATCATCTTTATAAGACAGATGGACAGGGCTAATGCATCAACAATTTCAACTTTCGTTTGAAAGTTAAAACGGAAGCAAACGGGTCACTCGTCGCAACATTTAGGTGAACTCCTGGCCTGGTCTTTAACTTATATGCCCTAAGGCTTGTGTAAGGTTATACATTTGTTGTATTTAGTGGGTATCTTTTGTAACCTATATTGTACACTATGGGAGAGGTGTGTTTACTTTCTGAACAACATTCATTGCATAGTACTTTTATCTTTATGCAGTTGTGTAATTAATACAAATAAAACTGGAATTGTGTGTATAGCTCTTCTGCAGGTTATTAACATTTTTTGCCATTGAATGTTTAACTACTGAGACGTGAACTTGACAGTTATATTCAAGAATTTGTGGCTTCCGTGTTTGTGTGATCATAACGTCACCACTACATCAGAAAAGTCTGCTGTTAATTTAATGCGTGTTGGACTTATTTGCGCACTGTGGCAATCGGTTGGCTACGTACGGAGGAGTCCGTACTTGTAGATCAACGTCATGCGCTCAACCAACAAACACAGACGTCTGAATAAAGGACAGAGGCTTGCCAACAGAGTGGTTATATGACCAGTTAAGTTTTGAAGACCTTCGTATGCAAATATAAGATATATTAATCGAGAATCACCTTCCCGCTACAGATGAGACATTGCTTTATGTACGCATATTGTCATGATAATTTCAATATGTATTGCATTGTCTGTGCTTTTGTTTTATCTGGGCTGTCCCCCCCCCCCATTACCGTGTAAAATCGAGAATTGACTGGTGCATTTGTAATATTTTCAGGATATGAAGCCCAACAATCTTCTGCTGGATGAGCAGGGGGTGCTCAAACTGGCCGACTTTGGTTTGGCCAAGTCGTTCGGCAGCCCAAGCCGAGTGTACACCCACCAGGTGGTGACGCGGTAAGTGATGCGACATTTGTCTCTTGCTGTGGGAATGTGGAGCAGCTTTAAGTTACAGAGTGCCGAGTGTCGGGCTACGACTTGCCAAGACGTTGCCTGACATTTGAAAAATAGAAACGCTCAGACACTGTGGCTAGCCACAGAAAATCATATCAGTAGCCTGAAGGGTAATCATGTGAAACTGGATATGGTTCTGAAAAAGTGACTTTATATTTCCCCAGGTTTCCATTTGAAACTGAAATACATATAGATAAAACTCCAGGAGTAGTTTATGGTACGGGGGTTTCTGTAATGATGGCACGATCTGAACTGTTATGTTGCTTACCGGCTAGAATTTCTAAGTGCTGTTATATATAATGACTTAAAAAAAAGAATTGCATGTGTGCGTGCCTACCATTTGAAAGTTTCGGATGAATGTGTATATGTGTGCGCCCTTGTCAGGGGAGCGGTAGTGTAGTGGTTAGCGCGCTGCGCTATGAACCTGGCGACCCGGGTTCGATTCCCGCTCACGGCTAACACCAGTGACGATTATCTGAACCGGTCCTGGGCCTCCCCTAGGTCGACTCAGCCTTAAACGAGTACCTGGTGCGGTGTGTAAACATCGCCACTGGGGAGACAAAGGCGGTCGGGCGTGGTGCTGGCCACCCACCCCCTCGTTCGTGTACCGTTCCGGCCTTCATAGGTGCTCACTAACAGCACTTGCCCCTACAGTCTGTTAAGGCTATACAGGGGATCTTTGTCTTTGCCCTTGTCAGGTGGTACCGCTCTCCGGAGCTGCTCTTCGGAGCTCGGATGTACGGAGTCGGGGTGGACATGTGGGCCGTAGGCTGCATCCTCGCCGAGCTGCTGCTTCGGGTACGCATTTTGCGAGCGCGTTCGATACTCGCACACGAACCTCGCTCGTGAGTCTCACGATTCTACTTGCGACAGTGTGCATCTCACTGCCCATGACACACCCTTACACAAGTGGAGGCTTGCAGGGGTTTCTTGACAATCTTTGTGTTTTTATTTCAGATAGATGCTTGATATCCTCTGCCCATATTTATTGACAGTGACTGGACCAGTTCTGTGGTTGCTATCTCAATAAGATGGACTATAGCAATGTATTTACAGCCCTTGGTCAGTCCATTGCTAGATGAAGGCCTCGCCATGCTTTTTCGGTCATTGGGGTTGGATCATACTTGTTCATGCTGGTCAGTGTGGGTTGGTGAATGAAGAGGCCTTGGACGAGTTCAGAAATCTCTTGCCACTCGTGTTAGCCACGGCTGGGAATCCAACTCCAGTTGTTGGATTCAGAGTGTAATGCTTTAACAATCACATCACCGTTACCACCCAGTGTACACTATAATCCAGTTACGCACATTTCTAATGCACTGGAAGTTTTTATAAAATCGATTTTTTTTTCAGACACCGTTCTTGCCTGGTGATTCGGATCTCGATCAACTGAGCAAAATCTTTGAAGCGCTTGGAACGCCCACGGAGGAGCTGTGGCCGGTATGTTACCGTTAAGCGCAACCGCTGCTTACAAACACCACCATATAACATGGGAGCATCTCATTCGGTGCTTTCAACCACCACACTGCAAGTGAAAGCACTTCGCTTTCTGCTCCATCCCTTCGTCCCTTTTCTCAGGCTCTTACAACCTCGCTCACTTCAATGAGCTATTAACTCTTATCTACTGCACCTTTAACGGTGGTGTTTGTGTTTGGCCACTTGGCTTTTTGTGCCTGGTGGGCCTGTGCTCGGCAACTGATCTATTATAATCAAATATTAATTTACTCTGTGGTGTGCTCTTCCGATCTGTGCTGTGATGCCTTGCGGTGCTGTGATGCACACTAGGGGATGACGACCCTCCCTGACTATGTGGAGTACAAATCCTTCCCGGGCACCCCGCTCGAGAACATCTTCACAGCGGCCACAGACGATCTCCTGGAACTCCTTCAGGGCCTCTTTACATTCAGCCCTGCTGCCCGCCTCACTGCCACGCAGGTGATGCCCTCGGCAGCACGGCCTGTCTGGCCTAGTCGGGAGCGTTGTGGAAGGACTGCTGGTTGCGTTGAACGTGTTAACTAATTATTCACGCTTTCCAACTCGGGTTAAATCGTTTATGTATCACTGTAGTTTCTGGATTATGAGACACTGTTGTCCGCCTGTAGAGTATTTTCAAATAAAAAAGTTGGAGGTGCAGAGTTGAGAATCATCTTGCCAAAGACGGTTCTCCAAAGCAATACATTGCCACACAGAGAAGAGAAGGCCACCACCGGCCGTTTAGAATAATCTTCCAGAAGACATCTCTCCCCATTTTGAAACGGCACAATCATCTTCTGGAAATCGGCTCTAAAAAGTACCATATTCTCCCATTTATAAAACACACCTTTTCTTAAAATCGACCCCAAAGTTGGGGTTTGCGTGTTACTTTAATCCTCGAAAACTGTAGTTTTGTGTTCGTCCACTCGTAATAAGAAGTGCATGATAACTCTCATACAAATAATACATTATCAACCAAACTGTGGTTTAGAGTTGTGTTGCAAGTAGAAGCTGACCGTATTAAAAAGTGATCAAATAGATGAAATGGTTGCCAAAAACTTAAAGGCAGAAACCACAACACAATGGACTTTTGGCAAATATGTAAACGCATTTTACCTTGAAAGCTACACGGCGGCTATCATTATGCTAATGTAATATTACTTTATTGATTTTTACAAAACAGTAATTCAATGTAATGTTACTTTAACACTTCCAAAGGCAAGCGCATGTTGCAAACAGTTACATAATCCACACTCGTGCTCGATTTATTCCTAACGTTTTTGTTCACCTCATCAACGCCTGCGTACGTGCAGGCGATGCAGATGCCCTACTTCAGCAACAGGCCGGGTCCCACGCCTCCTGCCCAGCTGCCACGGCCCAGCTTTGCCCGCGAGGTCATGAAGGAGCATGAGCGCGGCACCGTCAAACGCAAGAGGTTCGAAGACGCTGAAGCAGGTACCGCGTCCGTCGTAGCGCCACCCACCCACCCACCTGCCCTTCCCCCTCCGGCGTTATGTACGCGCACTCGTACAGTCCTGTCGCTCCACTGCGGGATGAGGGCTTCGCACAACTGCGCAGGTCGCGGGCGTTGGTTGATAAGTACGGGTTGGTGAAGGCAAGGGGGCATCGATGTTTTTGGATCAAGCGTAGATTAGACTAAAGCACTTCGCTCCACTGCCGTCTGCTGACCGCCGCGAAGCACAGCCTACGGCAGCAGGCCAGGTCCCCCACGCCTGGCCCGCACCTCTGCTTAACACGGTTGGGTACATATGGCGTGAAACGAGTTCAACATGACTTAAAACTTTCGTGACTGACTGCAGGAATTCATGTTCTATGGTTCTTTCGGTAAAGTCACGTAGATAGAAAAACGAATAACAATTAAATAATAAAAAATCAAGTGAATACAAATATCACGATTTAAAGCTTTCGTGACTGCAGGGATTCATCTTCTTGGTTCTTTCGGTAAAGTCACGTAGAAGGGAAATAATAAAATAATAAAAATAAAACATCATAAAATAAATATCACGACGTTTCGGCCACAACGCAAGCAGCCGTCCTCAGGTGAAGAACAGGTCTGTCGGAAAGACAGCGTCTGAATGACGCTGTCTGAATGACGCGTCTGAATGATGCTGTCTTTCCGACAGACCTGTTCTTCACCTCAGGACGGCTGCTTGCATTGTGACTTTACCGAAAGAACCAAGAAGATGAAATATCACGATGTTTCGATCGCAACACAAGCGGTCGTCATCAGGAACAGGGAGGTTAGCCTCAGAGGGCAGGATGTTTATAACAGTTTAGAGATGGGCGGGGCAGCTAATGTTAATGTAGAAGAGGACTTTACCAAAAGAACCATAGAATATAAGTTCAACATGCATATATACAACCTGGCATGCACGGTGATTGTTCGTCAAGCACGATCCTGGCTTAAAATCCTGCATAACATCCGAGATCTGAGGAGGCCGGGCTCGCTCCGGGTGATTTGGTCACAGGCTCGGTGTAATGATGTGACAATAATTTGGAATAAATAACACCAGAGCGACTTCAAATGTAAGTTCCTTGTTAGACCACATTTTTATTATGGCTTGTGGTTCAAATGTGCATATATTGATTGACATTGGTGCACTGTCTCTATTCACTTGAATGCAGGCAATGTACATTGGTCTAGCCATGTGCTCTGCTTTGTTTTAATTGTCAAGAACACTGGCGAATTGCTCTGATGCTGGATACAATTTTTGAGTACGATATGGTTCTGAAAAAGTGACTTTATATTTCCCCAGGTTTCCATTTGAAACTGAAATACATATAGATAAAACTCCAGGAGTAGTTTATGGTATGGGGGTTTCTGTAATGATGGCACGATCTGAACTGTTATGTTGCTTACCGGCTAGAATTTCTAAGTGCTGTTATATATAATGACTTAAAAAAAAAGAATTGCATGTGTGCGTGCCTACCATTTATATGTGTGCGCCCTTGTGGTTTCACTCTTCAACACACCGGTGGGCTAAAGTAGTGAACTATTTGTCTTTTGTCAACGTGACACTTTTTTGCTGATTGGCCGTGTCGGGTGGTGGAGGGTTTACGACACATTTATAAATAACGCGATCTAACCCAAAAACGTTTATTATGAAAAACATGTCTCTCAATGTCTGGTTTCTCTGAGACTTTTACCATACACATCTTGGCAGTGCAGCAGACAAACATTTAGACACTGTGTTGATTAACATTTCTACTTGTCATGCCTTCTAGAAGTGTAAATGTCACTGACTGGGCCGTCCTTTCACACTGTCGTCATCGTGTTTGTTGGTGCTGCAGGGTGCCTGGCCAAGAAGCTGATCTTCTGAGTCTCCTCAGGGATCCACGGTGCCTCCACTGACCGCCGAAGATGTGGAAGTGCTTGAACAAGCGCGTCACGTACATTCCTCTGCGGGAGTCCCCTCCACTAGACGCACAGGCCTTTTGTCAATCCAATGCTGGGTGAGGGCCTCTGTTAATATGCCCGTACTTTATGATGCCCGTCAATGCGGGTTGGTGAAGGTGGGGAGCATAGATGCGACAGCATAGACAGTACAATACAACGATGTGTTTTTACTGCACGTCCCTTCCCTGCTGCCCACCACATAGACCCGCAGCCGCCTATAAGCAACCCGGAGTGCAAGGTGGTCGTCAGTCCAAGCACACATCGGACTGAGTCCTATTAGCTTCCAAGGTCTGACTAATTGAATTGGTGTCCGGGGCATTTCAGAAATTGCTTTCAAGTGGATCGCGGTACGGTGTGAATTCTCTGGTCTGGAGCAGAGCTTCGCAGACTCCACTCCTCACATCCTGCCACTTGGCACGTACGGCCGTTTTGTCAGTCCAGAATCGGAATATTTATACTGGAGGAATCCGATCGAGCTATAAAGTTCTTTTCTCACAGATGCCCGGATGTCCAGTCTGCTGCTGGACACGAGATCCTTTCCACGCCTTCGTCGGTTGAGGATTATTTGTTTCGGGTTTTTTGTGAGTTTGATCGCGTAGATGTAAAAGTGTCGTTAAACCCACCACCACCACCCGACGGCCAAAACGTGCCAATTAGTTAGTTGTTCAGCACACCGCTGGGTTGGAGAGTAAACCCACAACATTTACAATTCGAGTTCGACGTTTCGCCGGCAATTACAACCAGAATCATCGGGTGACAGCCAGAATTGTGAAGAAATCCTGTTTCGGTCTTCGACGGGGTAAATGTGATGTCTTCACTTGAGCCAATTGGTTGCGAAGACCAGAGGGGGCGGGGGGGCGGGGGGTTAATGTGTCAATGAATTACAATAATATCTATTCTTAGTTGGGTTATTCATAGTTAATAAACATACATTATGTGTGTACGTTATGTCGTTTTCGGTAAAAAAATCGCAATACCTGTAATTGGCTGCTCACAGTTAATCACCATCGACGAACGGAGACCTGAATCAGCGTGCAATTAACAGTGTATTGCTTGATACGGATTATTTGATAATTGTGAGGGTTAGTATAGGTGGGGAGCATAGTGGCAGGAGCGTTTAAACTACAGGCACCCCTCGCTTCATGCTATGCTGTAGATGGCCGATTCTTTATTACGCTGCTTGTCCTGGAGAACATTTTTACTGAAAATGAAAATCTAAAAAGCGGTACGAGTGAGAAAGCGCATCTTGAGCACTAAGCGAGCTCTAAGTTTACGGCACAACAATAGATTTGCTGTAGTATCCTCTGCTGCGGACACAGCGCTTTTGCGCTCTAAACTATTTCCTTTCTGATACAAATCATGGCATTACATCTTCTTGGTTCTTTCGGTAAAGTCACGTAGAAGGGAAGTAATAAAACAAAAATAAAACATAATAAAATAATTCTCACGACGTTTCGGCCACAACGCAAGCAGCCGTCCTCGGGTGAAGACCAGGTCTGTCGGGGAGACAGCGTCTGAATGAAACGCCACCACGCTTGGAGCGTATATTTAAGCTGGGTTGGAAGGGGGGAAGGGCGCCTTGACAAAATAATTTGCATATCAAGAGGAATTTAGCATATTTATGGGAAATGCAGGTATGTGATATTACCTTTGAGCCGGCTGCTTGCGATGTGGCCGAAACGTCGTGATAATTATTTTATTATGTTTTATTTTTATTATTTTATTATTTCTACGTGACTTTACCGAAAGAACCAAGAAGATGAATCCCTGCAGTCACGAAAGCTTTAAATCGAAATCATGGCAATTACACTTTGCATGCACACCCTCATGATTGGTACACATGATGGGTTGTGAGGACTGACGTTTGAGAAGCCCTGTCGTAGGTAGTGCGTTGTACACATTTAGTTTTCAAGTTTTTCATTAAAGCAAGGAGGGTGGAGTTTTTTTGTTGTTCACAGAATAACATTACTTTATAAACGTCTACCTGTTACATCTCGCAAGCAGTTGCTGCGCCTGGCTGTCCACAGACCCGCCGAGTTATATAATGCGCAGCACGGGACCCCGCTGTGGGAACCGGAGCTTGGCTGAGACCGAGAGCCGCCGTAGACTTCACGCTTACAGAATTCTGTGTCTGCTGTTTGGGCCATTAGCGTCCCTGGGGGGCGCCTCCCCCCCCCGCCCCCCGGTACTGATGTTGTGGCGTGACGTGAACGTTGATCCGTTGCCCCCCAAGTAAGCGGTAAAGTTGAGCGATTGATTTCGGCTTGGATGAATATATTCTGATAACCATACAGATACTTGGTAGCACATGCATTGCTAATCACAAGCTTAAAGAGCAAATTCGCATATTTAATGCAGTTCAGATGTATATTTTTGTATCCATTCGCAAATACTGTTTGTACTGTATATAAATTCCCATGTACGGATAGCATGAAATACAAACCCACTTGTCAAACGTCGTGCAGAAGGTTTTTGTTTGCCGGTCGATTGTGTACATTTACGTGATCGTGATTGCGAGTGTGTGCTGTGTTATCGGAAGCCTCCAGAGTGAAAGGAATATCCAACTCAACTGGAGGCTGCGGTATGGACAGATATGTAGAAAAGTCGGATAGACCATGCGCAACTATTGAACTGGTGGTTAATTCGGGTGGGTATGTGATGTTTGGGTTTACGACATACTGTTGTGTTAAATGTGCAAAATATCAGTGGTCTCGGTACGTTTAAAATATTTCGGGAGATAAGCCCCGGTTCGGTCACAAGATGTAAACTGCAAAAATAAAGTTGTGGTTCTTCAGTTTAACGTTCATTCTTGAAGTTCTTAGACTATAAAGGCCGTACGAGTTCACAACGTTCAGGTTTATTGGCCCTTGCTCATAAAATCAGACAGAGGCTCTCTTACAGCAGCACACTGATGCACTATGTGTCTCGCATGATTGCTATGGGATCAACAGCGGAGAGGTCAGGATTGGGATTAACCTTCACATACTTCAAGAGATGTGTGAATCACCCATATCAGTCATTGACATCTTGATCAACTGCCGAGTACAGGTTTCCCTCGCTATGTGCTGTTGATACGCTCGAAAAAAAGCAAACCCGTACGAGACTGCTGCCTGCCTACAGTACACACTGTCGCATTTGAGTGAATATATCGATGTTTTGGTTAGCCGGATGTGCAGCCCGAAATTGCACAAATCAAATCCGCAAAAGCGAGGGAAACCAAGTATTCAGAAAATATATATTTTTTAAACATGTTTTTATTTACGAAAGCTCAGCAGCAAGCTGCTTAGACAACTCAAGTGGATATTTCCACTTTGGCAATAATTCCAATCGAAGTTGAAGGGGAAATACTTGGTGTTTAATTCAACCGGTTATTACAATGCACACAATTGTGTCAGTCCACTGATGGTTGGATAAAGGCCTTTACCGTTCCACGACGTCTTGGTCGTGCGAGGGTGTTGAACCATACTTCACCACTCTGGTCAGCCCGGGTTGGGGGAGGCATGCCATCAATGCGCAGCAAGAGGTCGTGGCCAGGATTTTAACTTGGGTCGCTGTGTTCAAGTTCATTTATTTGGTATAAACCTGAGTCATTCGGCTCTTGAATCGGGTGCAACGGCAAAAAAACTAAAACATGAACAAGAAAACATCTTAAAGAGACTATGCGCAAACAGAAAAATCCAGGGAAAAAACAGCAAAAATCTTCCAGAAAAAGCACCGTACACCAACGCTGTGTGCAAAAATTTTAGTGGGATGCAAGTCAACAACAACCACAAGACAACTTAGATTAAGGCCATCAGTCTAACTCCGTACTACAACAAACATGGCACAGTGCAAGAATCACTGTGCTGAGAAATGAGCAATAATATCGTGTATGTAAGTGGAGTGATTTCTGCTCATTGTAAAATCCAGTTATTGATCTGTTATGAGATAACACATTAAGCATTGGGAACTGCAGTTAATCAAATCACTGGGGGTGTTGGGCTAATGTTGCATAATCTACACCGGCTTGAGGAACTACTGAAAAACATTCCCTGAAGCTGTTTATATACAACATCCCGCTGGTAAGCAGCGGGGTACACATCTTCAAGGAGGTATGATGACTCCTTGTTATCCCTGACCCAAAACCATTATACAGTACACGACTAAAAAGTGTCTACAACATGAAATGAATCTCTCCATACAATTGGCTAATTGTATTCCTGGAATAACGTCTGTAGTTTCTGGGAAAGGGTGTGTTGAACTGGTGATGGAAAACCAGTCTTGGCATTCCGTTGATTGTGCTATCTAAACCCGCGGCCTACAATGATTCATCAACTCCCGCTGACGGTACAAGCATTGAAACGCGTGCGAAGTGATTCTGGTTTATGCAAGTTATGTGTGTGCATGTTTTTATTTTACAATATGTTAGATTTACAATACAAACTCAACACATCAGTCAATAACAGTGGTCATAAATAGAAAAAATATATATAATAGATGACATTTCCGGCAAACACAGAAAGGCCGTTGCCTGAAACGTCAACCATTTTTTTGGCTTAAGACCACAGTGTTATTTTTGCGCCACCGTGGCGAGATGTTAACTACCTCGCCTGGTTTAAAGGAGGTCGTGGGTTCGATCTCGATGCCTGTGTATTTGGAGTTTGCATGTTCTCTCTCCCCGTGGTCGCGTGGATTTTTCTCTGGGACCTCCAGTTTTTCCTGCAAATTTTAGAAACGCTCGTTTTAGAGTTTGGCTGCAATAACATTTGCCACGTGATAAGCCACTTTGTTGAGCTATCATTTGTGGCCAGGTCGCTTCTGAAAAATAGCAATATAACTCGGTGGGCCTTACCTGGTAAAATAAAAAAATATTTGTTTTTAGTTCAGTGTTAGTGTATTGTCATGTAGACTTGTGCACCACTGCCAATGCTGCCAGCTACATCACCAAACATCTTGTTTAACGTTGTAGCATTTCATATAGTTTGCAAATATTTCTTTACATTTCGGCTCACGGAGTGAAAATGTCGAACAACCAAAATGTAAAATGTCGATTTAAAGTTTTCGTGACTGCAGGGATTCATCTTCTTGGTTCTTTCGGTAAAGTCACGTAGAAGGGAAATAATAAAATAATAATAATAAACATAATAAAATACAATTCTCACGAGGTTTCGGCCACAACGCAAGCAGCTGTCCTCCGATGAAAGACAGCGTCATTCAGACGCTGTCTTCCCGACAGACCTGTTCTTCACCTGAGGACGGCTGCTTGCGTTGTGGCCGAAACATCGTGAAAATTGTATTTAATAATGTTTTATTTTTTATTATTTTATTATTTCCCTTCTACGTGACTTTACCGAAAGAACCAAGAAAACCAAAATGTAATGAACCGAAAACATTCACAATGCGACGGGGCAACAGGGGCGAGAGTCCAAGTCGTTTAACAATTGTGGGAGATGGAATGTGACTTGGACGGTGCCACGTGTCGCGGTAGATACTGGACGTTGTCGCAACCAAATTATCAGACGCGGATGAAATGAAATGTCGAGCTCTGCACGACGGAGCTCCCCTACACGGCCAACGTTAAAATGTCTTAAAATGTGTCCCTGGGGGGAAACCACCCAACACCGGGAGGTGACACGTGACGAGTCACCACAGCGAGAGGGCATCATCAGAGATGTCGCGCGCGTGCCATCGAGATATGTTTCGGGTCACCAACCCACCCATCAAAACATGGAAATCTATCGCGCTAACGCTGGAACAAACGGTCCCGACCACACGCTGACGTTTGCCTTACGTTGCATCTCTACCGGGCAATACCAATGCTGGCTGAAACGAAGCCCTGTTTAACACGCACCACCACCACCAACGGAACCCAGCCACCGCACGTGTTGCCACAGCGCACGCGTGGCCAAGAGTGCAAACGAGGACACGGCGCGAGTTGAGCCGGGGGGGGGTGGGGGGCAGACACTCTTGAGCATCGCTCCTCCTGCCAGCTGCTAGGGGGCGCTACCCCCCACCACCACCGCCCCATCACACACACGCGGGGTAGGGGACGAGCAGCACCGCCCCAGCTCCAACCCCAATGTTCGCTCCGCCTTAAACCCCCCCAACACAACTCCCCCTCGACACGGCGCAGCTGTTCCCGTTACTCGCGCGTGCGCGGGGGGTCAGATCTGCTCTGGGGCTGCTCGCTCGCTCATCTCTCGGCGATGGCAGCAGCAGCAGCAGGAGGTGATGGAGGTGATGGAGTTGGAGGCGTCTCGGGTCTGCTGTTCGACTACGCGGATGCTGCCGTGGCCGTGTACTCGCGAGTGCGCAGCGAGTGGAGCGACTGCTCCGACTGCGGCCCCGCGCTCGCTGCGCGCACGCTGCGCAACGCGGCCACGTTCGGGCGCCGCGACGCGGTCATCGTGGTCGTGTT